ACACTCCGACAGTGTCTTTGCAAGCACACTATTATACCATAAGTACACCATCCACCTTCTCTGCTCTGAGTAAGATGCATTCTGTCATTAGAGACCAAGTGTGTAACTGTGTCTGGCAGTACTTGAACTCTGAAAGTTGAAATGCAGTTTGAGGGCATGCTGGTGTGTGCATATGCAGTCACCATGACACCACTCCCCAGGCAGCAAGTGTTTCTGCTGCTGGCAGGCTGCACTTGGTCTGAGCTCCTCTTCCATCTGCTTCATCCTTGGAGCTGACTGCTGTGGCCACTCACAGAGCAATTTTGGCAGCAGCAAGGTACAGATGCCCAGCTCAGAAATGAGTTTTTGAAGTAGTGGCATCTCGGTGTCAGCTTGCCTTCCCAGCTGGTCTCTTCAGCATTCTTCTCTGGCTGGACTCCTGGTTCTCCTGGCCACTCAGAAGTTGGGGTCAGCCTTTGTGACTTTCTGGCCTTCCCAGAAGAACACTTGTTTCTGATTAGTCCCTCTGAAGGGGCTAAAAGCTATCTTTCTACATAACTTTAAAAGTAAAATCACTCTGAAAAACCTCATGAAATTCACATAGAAACCTCTATGAAATGACATTTAATAATGTGATAGATTTCCATTCTCGTTGAAAATTTCTGCTGTACTCTACTAGTGTACGGTAGATTTATTTCTTTAATACGAAAGAGAGCTTCATAAAGTCTGGAATAATTTCCAGAAGATAAACTAGAACATGCCTAAAATTACTCATGTACAGGCATATTCTTTAACATATTGTTGAAGAAGTCACCATCATTCTTATAGCAGATACATTAAAAAGCATTTCAGTAGCTCCTGCTCTTACACTGTCAGCAATGGAGTGAAAGAAGAACTGAAAATTACTGTCTTTTCCTCCAAACATGACTGAAATTAAACACTTTGCTCTAGTCTGGGAATTTTTATTCTATTAAGGGGAATCTCTCCAGGCAGATATATGCCCTTCCCTCCTCTGTTCCCCAGTGAATATACAAATAGGGGAAGTAAAAAATGCTCCAGAGCTTTAAAAGCCCAAAGTCGCCAAGTGCATTGATTTGTTTCTTCCTCTCTCTTACTTTGCTGTGAATTCTGAATGCTACCTGAAGACTAACTTGTAACTTTATTATTTTCTCATGCCTCTGACAGTATGGCTTAACCACTGATAGCTCACAAATTCTCTTTCAGTGTCATGTCTGTACTCATAGGGAGTTTGATAGTTCACTGAAAATTATGTGTGCATTTGCAGTTTCAAATGTATACAGGATATGTCTGTGGAATCCTTTTGCTTTTCAAAGCATTGCTGTTCTGGAGGTTACAGCAAACTCATGTTGCAAATATGATCTAGGACATCTGCAGAGATTTTGCTGTGTTAAAATGTCACAAAAGGTATTATTATATCCCTGGATTTACTGGGACATCAGGCCAGAATTTCTGTATCTTAAGTAACTTTTTTTCTGCAAGAGAATACATACATAGTAATGAATTCAAGTAGAAAGTGCATATTATTTTGAGAAGAGGAGCATATTTGAGGTGTTTAAGTATTTTTGTCTACCTCAGAAAGGAATTAGGGAAAAAAAGTAGGTAAAAATATACCTTATAGTAATTTAATAATATATCTTACTGTAGGTATTGAAGGAATCAACTGTTCAGATACACTCACATGACATTACTCAGGCATCCGATTGGACCTGATTGCATAATCCTGTTTTCTAGCATAAAGCTGGTTCCCATTTGGAATTAGGTAAAGACACTCAGTCTATACTACTGTGGATGGTCAGGAGCTGGGTTTTGCTCTGCCCACAGTGCTGAGGCACTATGGTTTTTTTTGTTCTTGATTATGTTTTGCACTTCAAAGGGACTCTTGACCTAGAGGACTACCAAAACAATAGTATCATGTGAACATCCTGTCTTCTCTTCTTCTAAATAAACACAGTCTAGACACTACTCTTCGATCACTGTGCAAAACCAGATGCCTTGACTCATAGGCTGTGTAAGTTTTAAAGGCTGTCCTTAACAGAATGGAGTTATATATTTTGTGTTAATTTGTGGATTAACTAGTAGACTGAACAAAGAAAATATTTTTTTTAAAAAAAGAGAATTTGTTTTCTTAATGTTACAGATCCAGCCTTAGTTGTGAAAGTTTTGATACTAGTTTTTTTCCAGCTTGCACATTTTCTGTTCTAAAAAAAAGAAGTGTTGATTGTGTGAATAAGATTCAACTTCCTCTTCAATATGATATTGACTCTTCAGTGAGAAATGAGTAAAATGCAGTTATATATGCGTGTCATTATTCCTGGAGTAGATGGAGTATGTTTATATGAAGAAAGGAATTTTGCTGATTAAAAACCACCATATACTCATGTTTTGGATGAGGTTTTCAGTAGAAGAGAACTGGAGTGGAGAAATACCAGTGGATATCTGTGTACAATAAGACGTGCAGAATATTCTTTTCATGGCAAAAAGTAACTTGCTGTATTCTCTGCAGCATTTTCTCCTGCCTTAGTACATACCTCCAGATGTATGGTAGAAGGTTATAAGTAGTTGGAGATTCTTCTTGTGCAGACCCTTTGTTGCTGTCACTCAGTTCATATAATTTTTTTCCAAAGAAATTAATGGAACAATAGTGATACAAAGTCTATTATCGGTCTAGCTGAACTATAAGGATTAGGTTGGTAAACATAGGTGTGGTTTGTTTTGCTCTGCAGCATGAGGTAATTTGAGCTGGATGCATGGTCATCTAGGCTGAGATCCTCAACACAATTCTCACAAGCCCTCAGTAAGTTATACTTGCAGAACTGGGGTGTTTTCTTCAAAAGTGGAAAAAGTAGAAAGAGTAAGAAAACAGTGCACCCAAGTGCATCTTCTGGTTTGTCCTAGAGCTCTCTGCTAGCATACCAAGCACACTGTTTTTGGGAGTGAGGCTGCAGTTTTCCAGAACTACAAGAGAGCAGCGATAAACAGAGAAAACACAAAGCATTTCTGATTTGTGGCAGTTCCAAGGCAATGGACAATGAGTTGCCAGTTAAAACGGAGTGTGTGAAATAAAACTCAGAGGGGAGCAAAAAGGATCATGATGGCACATAAGAAATGTTTGGGGTTTTTTTCCCTGCATGTAAAATCTATTTCTGAGTAAGTAGGTTTTGTGGTGTGTGGTTTATCTTCTGAGTTCTGAGGTTTGTTTTGATTTTTTTCTGTGAAGAGTAGTTTAACCCACAAGAAGAAAAGTGCCCTGTTGAATAATAAGGATTCGCTTGGTTGCTTTATTTGAAAGCTGTTTGGTAAACGTCTGGAGACTTGGGAAACAAATGCAGTTGAGAAGAAAACTTGGTTGCTGGGACTCTTATTAACTCTTTACTAAGAAAATCTGGAAAGTAGCTACTTTGGAAACTATTTTAAAAGGAAAAGGATTAAAACAGCAAGTTTTAATCCTTTTATCCAGCTGGATAAAACAAGTATAGGCAATGTGGACTGCTTGGTCAGCAAGGCTTGGAAGAAAAGAAGGGAAAAACGGTGTCAGTGGCAGCTGGAAGTGATTCTCGCTGATAGTTTCTTACAGGTTCTGCACTATTTTCATGTTAAGATCCCTTTTAATATTGAGTCAAATACGTGGGTATTCTCTACCTCTATTTTTGTGGGGTTTTTTTTTTGTATTTTGATTCTTTCAAAATTAATTTTTCTTTACATATCTTCTGTTCAGATTTACTTATACTAGAAGTATCGTTGAACAAGTATTCAATTTATGTTGAACTCCAGATTATGGGACATGAAACATTTTGTTTCTGAAGATTAGAATCTTAGAGATATCAGGAGTTTACTTGGAACCAGTGATGCAACAGTAATATATGTTTAAACTTTCACAGAGTGACAGTTTTATTGGCACACTTAGAGAGTGAAGGTTTTATAGGAAGTATGCAGCTGCATTAACTTCCACATGTAGCCCTTTCCTGGTCTCTAGGCATCACATTCTAAGGTGAATTAGAAAAATTACAGAAGGTAAATGGCATATTCTTGGATCACCCTGATTAAAGCCTTTGGCTGGGAGAACATCATTTGAATAATAAAAAAATGCTATATTCTGCAAATGATGTGAACTGAAGATTTGAATCTAGTAAAGAGTAAATCAAAACTGTGCATAAGTTTGAAGAAGAGTGCATATGAACTCTGGAAACAGGTGAAGAGTATTTAATTATTTTTGTTAAATCACTTCTCAGCAAACTCCCACTGCTCAGGTTTTACCACCTATGGTGGATACCACTACAGGTCAAAGATCTGATCTTGTATTGCTGGCCATGTCTTGGTTTGAAAAATGAAATACATAGCTCAGCATTACTAGTGTGGTGTTCTGTTCTTACTGGAGCCCTTGTCCTCTATTATTATTCTCTTTATCTCTCATGTAAAATCAAGAATGAGGAGACTAAAATCAATAGTTCCAGAGAAAGAAGCATAGTAACCGGTCTCCTGTATATTTGGTGGAGAGAGATGATAAGACTGAAACAATACTGTCATGTACCCTCCCATTGTTCTAATCAGTTGCATTAGTTTGCATTCATGCACTGTGGTGTTTTTGCTGTGCCAGAAATTACCAAGGGATTGCTCAAATGAATAAAAACCCCAACAACTTAATTCTATTCCATCTCTCTCTCCTTACTGAAAAAGTAGCAATCCTTGTCTTTCACTGATAGATAGCTGTACTCCCTCTATAGCTGAGTTTATATGTGAAGTGTGATCTCTTACTTTACAGCACTGCATTGCAGTGGTGTAGGTAATGCTCAGGCAGTGCATGTGTACCAGAGTCCCTTGGCCAGAAGGACCCAGATTCACTGATATTTGTCTCAAATGCCCTGACTATTGAACGGGTCAATCATTCCCAGCTTTTAGTCTTTGCCTGTGCCTTCTTTTGTTCTCTTTGTTAGCTGGTTCTTGCAGATACTTTGAAAGGTGCTCAAATAAACAAAGAGGCTCATTCTTATTATTGCTTGCAGGTTTCCAACCTGTACCTGTATGACAGTGTGCTCATGCTGGCCAATGCTTTCCACAGAAAACTGGAGGACAGGAAATGGCACAGCATGGCAAGCCTGAACTGCATGAGGAAATCCACCAAACCTTGGAATGGAGGACGATCCATGCTAGAGACTATTAAGAAGGTGAGAAAAGAAAAACCACAGTTGTGTGAGCAACTGAAAGAATTACTTCATTTCTACTCGAGCAATTGAAGAGGTTTCATTTTTATTCAACTTTTATTTATTAAAAGCAAGTGATTTACAACTACCAGGAATGATCCACAACTATGAAACAAGCAAATGATTTTATGATAAACAAATTGCAGACATTGCAGTGTTGCTCTAGTGGTGTGTGTTCTTCTCCTGTTGTTCTCACAACTACCTTCTGTGGAGGTAGTATGATTAGGAGTGGTCACAGAAACTGATGCATGCATTTTATAATGGGAACAACCTAAGGAGCTTAAGGGGGGCAACCAGTGATACAGTTTCAAGGCTTTTGTTCCATTTACTACAACTCAACTAACTTTGCATGTTAACTGAGCATTGGTAAGTATATTTTTGTGTACTGTAGGGATCTGAGTTAGCTAAGTTGTCACTAACAGTTGTGTTATGTGTAATGGGTATGTGTTATGTGTAATGTCTTGCAGCATTGCTGAATTACTCAAATATGGACAGTACTGTGGTTTTGCAGATGCCTGACAGCTTCTTGTATGAAAGTTACTTGATCACAAGTACTAGTGGAAAAAAACCTCTCTTTTTTTACTATCCTGACTTTAGAAATTATTATGAAGAAACCCCTTGTTTCCCAATACATATCAATGAAATAATTTTCCTTTAGTAAAAAGATGCAGTTTGATCATTCTGACCAGTCATAATGACACCATCCTTTGTTGCTAAATTATGTCAAACTTTGGTGTCACTTAAGCTTCTTTGCTACAAACCCAAAATCAAACTCGGTGATACTTTCACAGAGATACTTAGAATTTTATCTTTTTTTCCCCTACCTCTCTTGGGAGCACAGCTCTTTCTTTTGGACTGAATGTTCATGCCTTTGTATTGAGACCCAGAAGAGAACATACTTCAGTTTAAGTAGATACTGGAATAGCTGTTGTCTCACAGTCCACCAAAGTCCTTCTTCTTTTCTTTGGGCTCTGTTTCTGTGAGCAGTGATGAGCTGATGGCCATAGCCATGAACTGTGGGTATGTTAGTGCTAAAGTAATTCTCAAAAAACTCAACAGCCAACCAACCAAACAATAACAAAAAAAACCAAACAAAAACCTCCAAAATAAACAAACAAAACAAACCCCAAACAAACAAAACCCACAAAACAAACAAACAAACAAAAAACAAAACTACCCAAAATTAAAGTCTTTTGTCTGGTGCTGGTTTTGGGGTTGAGCTACTTAAGGACATGTAATTGCTACATTTAAGTTCACTGTAAGCATTTTCAAAGTAGATTTTGCACACCTTTAATGCAGAGGAGTCTTTATAAAGGTAAATTTGTTTTATTCTAACCTTTTGAATCTTATTTCCTCAGGGCCATATAACTGGGCTTACTGGTGTTATGGAGTTCAGAGAAGATGGTGCCAACCCCTATGTTCAATTTGAAATCCTGGGCACAAGCTACAGTGAAACCTTTGGCAAAGATGTGCGGAGGGTAAAGACATGCTGCTTTTCTGTTTTTTTTTTCCTCTAAATAATGTGCATTCTGCTTCACAGGAGAAAATGTTATTCTTTAAGAATGAATTAGTGGTAGGCTGCAGAAGAAATTTACTACAAAAGAAATATTTTCTAATTTATTACACGCTTAAATCTTGAAAATTAATTTTATATTGGTAGGCAGGAATCCTGCTAGTTGTTTCCCGTGTGCAGTAATGATGCAGTGCCATAACAATCCTGCGAACATAATAGGGAAGACTGCACAATTCTGGTCATGTATTTTATTGTTAATTAAGATATGATTGATATAATATAAATATGGAAGATATAATACAACTGGCACTTGTCTTACTAAGGAAGATAACTGAGAATATGAATTAGCTAAACACACAAAGATGTTCCAAGTATAGCTACTACAAGAACTTGAGATACATAAATAAAGAAACTATAGAGAAGATTATTTCTGAAATGAATGATGCTATTTCCTGAAAAATAAAGGATGATTCATCAGTGGTAGCTGGTGTGGTAAGAACTGATGGGGATTGGAAGGCAGTTAAAGTGGTTCCAAGGCTTTATTTACATAAATTGTCTTGGGCTGAGAAGGCTACCTCGAACGAGTTCATGCAGAGGGGGTGCTCCAAAAGTATTTGAAACTCTCAATTGAACAGTGAGGTACTGATTGGAAACCAGGATACAAACAATTTCTAAACTCGTCAGGTGGTTGAAATACAGATATTATCACTGTGTGATCAATGGGTCCTACATTAAACAGAGCTGAACAAAGAGGTTTTCTATGTATAGTTAAAATATATGACATTTTCTATTTTTGTTTGGCCATTGGTTTCTGTGATTTCTTTCGATTCACCTAAATTACAGAAGTCTAAATGGAAAAACAAGCAAGGAACTTGTGTTTGCGTTATCATTTTTATCAGCCAAAGATGAGATTTTTTTCAGAGTCTAGTTTGGCACAAGGATTCTGGACATGGAGCCAAAGACATGAAATATCTTTTAGAAATTCAACAGAAGGCAGATAAGTATTGGAAATGCATAAAATTCCAGAAGATATAATTGAAAATTTTCTGTTGCCAAAAAAATGTGTTTGAACACTTCAGATTGGCTAGGCACCCTCCTATATTGCAATGGTCAGAAAAGGCTATTTCTCAGTCTGCTTTTGCTTCTGGAAGATTGAAAATTAGGAAGTCTTAAGTTTCAAACACCACCTGAATTATTAAAAAATATATGCCCTATTGCCTCAATTTGGAAAAGTGTTGTCTATTTAATAAAATAAAGTCAGCTTAGGAGGTCTAGGAAACAGTTCCAGCTCATAGCCAGAAGTGTGCACCTCCCTTTATGCACAACTGTGCAGAACAGAAGTATCTGGTGCCATGTGAGATGCTGTGGGCTATCCTACTGAGTTTCCAGCTGCCACTGCAGAAAAGCAAGAGTGTCCTGTCAGTGCTGTGTTATCCCTAGCATATGGATGTCATGGGGTGTTTCAATTTGGTTCCATTTTGTTACAGAATTCCCAAGTGACCTTACATAAGTCACATAGCTGGTTGATGCTTTGATTTACCTTTCAGTAAAATTGGCATGAACACCACTCAGCACAGGTCTGAGCCTGAAAGGCTCAAACTGTGATGTGTGAGTATACATCACCTTTTTTTCTAATGTTTATTTCAAACACGGTAACGCAGATACAAAAGCTCTCCCTTCAGCGTGTGTAGCACACTGACCATATTGACATAAAATCCTGAGGTGTGAAGTGGAGAGAGCTAAAATACCACTCAAAAGGGACCACAAGGCAAAGAAATAGGTAAAATGACTAAATGGAAAAATTGCTAAAATGGCTTACCTGGTATAGCTACTGATCACTTTTGATCCCTAATGTGCTACTTTGGGATTAGGTGTTTAACGTAGGAGGCCTAACTTTTTGGATGTCAAATCCAGAACATTATACAGTTCCCAAAAATGAAAGGGAGTATAATTCTAAATGGGTAAAAAGCTAATGGCTGTGGAATACTGCTCTGAGATAAAATGATATTATCCTTTTAGTCTAATGCAGAGAGAGTAAAAAGTCAGCAATATGCTAGAGAAGTCTATAGAAGAACTCGGAAGAGATGATACCTCTCAGAGCATAACTACCATGGAATTCACTTATTTGAATTGACTTGTATTATTGCAGCAAAAATATGTTATAGCTTAGAATTGCTTTTAAAAACTCAGGAAGTCATGCTTGTCTTGTTTATATTATTTGAGTGAGAGACCAATTCTTATTCATTATTAGTTGTTTCCATTTCAGCCTTTACTCAGGTTTAGCTGTGGAGGCACGTATTTTGGGTAAAAACCAGAGGCTTTTTCTGCATGGTTTTCTTTTCTTCTGCATGGAGAGTATCTGTATTTATTTATCCCTGTCCAGACCCTTTAAAAAAATCTTTGCACTTGGGATCTGTGACAGGGTAAGGCAAAATACTATAACATTGAGTGTTGAACGTTAGATGGAATCCAGTCAAAAGCAAGTGGACTTTTAACTCTCAATATCCTATACAAAGGTTCTTGGGAATCATTCCCACCAGAAAGACTCCTAGGAGGATGTCCAAGATAGTAACTAAAATCTAGCAGGAATTTTCAGAGCTATTTGGTAGACACATGTTGACTCTCCAGTTGCCCTGAGATCAGGTCTTTTTATAGACAACTGTTGCTTTCACTAGCTGTGATTTAGTCAGGAGTGCAAGTAAATATATGTATTTTCTTGCATAGTATGCCTTCTGCTTTTTCAACAAGCACTTAGTATGTCTTTTGTTACACAAGTCTAACACCATGTGGTTTTTGTAAAGGCTTATAGTGCTTTTGTATGTAGCATTTATTTTTCCTTTGGGTGTACTTTAGTGAAAGGGAAACTTCAGAAAATGCTCTAATTTCTTTGGTTTAAACATAAAAGAACAGGGGATGTCCCTTAAGGTATATCACCTTGTTTTACAAGAGGTTCAAGTAATTCCCTTCTATTTACTGTGTGTATGTGGGGATTTAGAAAGCATGGTGCTTAAAAAAGAGATTAGTGTGGTGACTTATCAGGGCATTTGAAAGTTGAAGATTGTTAGACAAACTAGGCTTAAATGCCTAGTGCTTGGCAATTCCCCCTATGGTTTATATTCCTACTGTCTGCAAGCACCTTTAGAAATAACCGGAGTGACTGTATGTTTAAAAAAAATTAAATAAATACATAAAGTGATAAAGGAAGAAGTTAGAATAAAGCTGATGTCCTACTTCCATGGTACAAGGGATATGAAGTGGAAAAGCAAGTCAGGACTACATTAATTGAATCCTTAGTGACCATCTATATTGTTAGTTCTTATTAATGAAAGCCTTCATGTAACTGTCTGAACACCTGAGCTGGTTCACACTTCTTATGTCTCTGCACTTGGATGGATTCCACACAATGCAACAGTTTGATGATCCAGCTGTGAGAGCCAAAGTAAGGGAGCTGGCAATCCAGGGTGGTATTCCCTACCTCACAGTGAGCTCTTGAGGTGTAAACATATTTGTTTTCATTTGACCATGAATGCAGAGAGTACCGCAACAACTAACTGCCCTTGTAGGGATGTGATTAGGCTTAGTTAGATGATGCCTGTAAGGAGCTTTATGATAATCTTCATCTTCATCCTTGGCAGGAAGATCTTGTGTAAGTGTGAAATGATGTGGTTATTTAGTCTATTTTATGACAGGGATCATATTTTTTCTAAAGCAATCTGCATTTCTTTCCCAAGCTGGCTGTAATGAAGGCAGAATTAATGGTTTGCAAACATCCAGTATTTCTTAAGAAACATTCTGCTCAAAATGATAATTTTTGGGATTGGTTATTCATTTCTCTTAGCTGGTGTGCTTTAATTTTTTTAAATTAGATTTTCTTTAAATATCATCTACTTAGTAAACAGTTATAGTTGTTTCCTACAGCACTTCTGAGGCAGATTGCAGAAGTCACTGTAAGTGGTTTCTGTGATAGGTTTCAGAGTTGTTGAAACCCCATTTTTGAATTCTGATACAGCAGTTTAATTGAGATTGCTACCTATAGACAAAATCTCATCACTATCATGATGAGAAATCCTATGCTCCTTATTCATTGCAAAAAGGAATGGTATTTTTAGGGATCTGCAGTATCAAGTGCTTTCCTCTGTAAGAATATTGCCAAGTCACATCGTATGCTGCTAAGAGACGTATGCACACCAAAAGAATGTAATTGTAATTGAATCAGTTTTACTTATATGGACAAATATATAACTAAATTGCCTGAATTTAGCCATAAAGCAGATGCCTGCCTCCCATTGAGCACTTCATAAACATGTACTTGGGTATAATATTTTGATTTAACCACTGTGGCCAAAGTACCTTTCAGCAGAAATATAAGATGAAGTCTTGGTTACTTTTGATCAGTGAAGCCCCCCTGTTACTTTGCAAAGGGAAGGGCTAATAGTCCTCTCATTCTGAATAAAATACAGTTTCCACATATTTACATTTGGTTAAACTTTCTGTTTGAGTTGATTGAGTGTCATGGTGGAACAATTTGGGAAAAAGGTATTGTGATTCACCCTATAAATACATTGTGTCAAACTGAAGAAAGAACTGAAGTATTTTACTCAAAGTAATAAAACTCCTTAAATGTTTAGCAGTAATTTTCTGTACCAGATGGCTGTGAGAAGTAAATGCATACCTTGCAAATTCCATAGGTTGAATTTTTCATGGTGAAAAATACAGCTGAACATATAGGAAATTCCTATGAGCAACTATAGAAGAATACTAGAAAGAAACATGATGAACATGAGTGATTTTTTTCTGAAATGGAGTCATTGTTTTCTCAGGTTCTGCAAATTGGCCCCTTTTTTTTTTTTTTTTTTGTAATTGTAATACTTTATGTTCTGTATGCTTTCACTGTAAAATTCTAGCTGAATTATCACACTCACTGAAAAGTAGGTAAGCAATTTTAAAAATGTATTTTCTGTTGCA